TGTCTGTGGTTAACTTACATGTAGACTTTTCATACCTGAGGATATTCAGAGGACATAAAATTAACTGATTTCTCATCCCTTTCAAGCGGTCTAGATGTTGGGCATTCCCTCAGTGAGACTGCCAAGACCTTAAAGAGATCCACACACTCACATTTCTAGCTCATAGGCTTAAAAGCCTGTGGGAGGGATTTTCCACCCAACAGCCATTTGGATCCCCTGTTCCTTAGTAACAAAGACTTAGTTGTTTTATTCTTTTAATTTTTTCTCCATTATTTTTTATTGAGACGTAACTGACATATAACATTACATTAGTTTCAGGTGTTCAACGTGATTTGATGTTGCAATATATTGCAAAATGGTCCCCACAATAGGTCTAGTTAACATCCATCACCATACATCATTATAAATTTTTTTTTCTTGTGATGAGAACTTTTAAGGTCTACTTTCTTAGCAACTTTGAAATATGCAATACGCAACAAAAAAATATGCAACTTTGAAATATGCAATGCAATTATTAACTATTATTTCCATGCTGTACATTACATCCCCAGGACTTATTTAGTTTATAACTGGAAGTTCATACTTTTGCCCCTTCACCTATTTTGCCTACTCCACCATCCCCCACCTTTGGCAAGTGTCAGTCTGTTCTCTGTATCTTTGAGCTTGGAATTTTTTTAGATTCCACATGTAAGTAAGATTATACAATATTTGTCTTTCTCTGCCTGATATATTTCACTTAGCATAATAACCTCAAGGTCCATCCATGTTATCACAAATGGCAAGATTTCTTCCCTTTTTATGGCTGAATAAAAGTTTATTTTGTTTTATATGTATATAATGTATATAATATAATATATATATGTATATGTATATGACATTTTCTTTATGCATTCATTCATCAATGGGTACACACTTAAGCTATTTCCATATCTTGGCTCTAGTAAATACTGCTGCAATGAACACAGGGATGCATATGTCTTTTTCAATTAATGCTTCCATTTCCTTTGGATGAATACCCAGAAGTGAAATTGCTAAATCATATGGCCATTCTATTTTTAATTTTTGAACAAAGGTCAAAATAGGTGTGGCAGAGACATGCCCAATAAAAGATGACATTCCCGAACCTCTTTGACAACCAGGTGTGACTATGAGTCGAAGTTCTGAGCAATGAAAATTTCCTTGAAGTAACTGATTTTTATTTCCTGGATGTCTTCTTTACTACAATAACCACAGATGATTTATATTTCAAGTTGTCCTTATTCCTTGCTCCTGGAGGCTGCTTGAATCACAGACGTGAATGTCAACCATGGTTGACCTTGAAAACAGAAGCCGCAGGCTCAGAATTGTGAGAGATAAGGAGCCTAGGCTTCTAATGACCATATCAGCCATGGACTGCTCACCTGGTCCTTTTCATGAGAGATGAAAGTAAACATATATTTACTGAAGCCATATATGCAGTCAAAAAGAACCATTCTGATTCACCTTCCCAACCCTACCATCTGTTTTAGATATTTCCTTGAGGTTCACTTTAACCAAAATTTACTACTAAAGAACCAGGGACATGGCATTTTATTCCATACCACTCTTTTCCCAGAACACCTCTTTCCAGCCTGGCCCTGATCACAGCATCCTCCCAGGATTCACTTACCAAATTCACAGTGGTTGATCCTGCTGTAGAGCAGGCCCATGGGGATGTTCCAGCCCGCGGTTCTTTCTACTCCAGTATGGCAGGACTTCTTGCCTTGCAGATTGTTCCAGGTGAGGCTCTCATCTGCTGATGCCTTAACTACAGCCACAGCCTTATACCCTACAAGAAAGACACCAAAAAAGAAAGTATTAACACCCCTGGGCCCTCCAGAGTATGTCTGCAATCAAAGCCTGCCATCTGCCTGTGAAAGCAAAATTATCCTAAGTCATTCCTTCTGTTTTTGAAAGGGTCTTCCCCAAAAGACTGAAGTACCAGTCACTCTGTCAGATGGAGATTATTCTGAACATTAAAAACAAAATAGTAAGAAAACATCATCATCAAAGGAATGGCTGGTATATAACACTTCCCTAAATGCATAAAACTATGAAAGTTATAAACTAGCAACTCACCCTTCACTGTGGAATATCAGAGGAGTGGATCCCGAGGAGCACGTGACTCCCAACATTTTATACAGTAACAATTAGGGAAGAGTAGTAAGTGACCAATAAACTACAGGGAATATTCTGGCCAGGTATTTTGGGATATGGAGAACACAGGTTTGCACCAAAATAAATATATGAAGTAGAAATTCAAAATCATGACAGCTGCCATCTTTAGCAGAAAATACTTGTTGCTCCTTAACTGCAAATAGAAGATCAACCCATGATTTCAACTTTTTAAATGAGTTAATTCAGTCAACTATTTACAGCAGAAAACAAGAGAAGCCTTATCATCCATGGAGGAAGAACAAGTCTTCCTATTTTTGGCCAAAGAGCCTGGGTCCTAGAATGATGGGGAAAGGCTAAGAGGTTGTACTAGGGGAAGTCACAAAGACAGACTTGCACACTAATGGCTGGGAAATGACCAGAGAGGTCTGAGCACTGGGACATAGTGATCACCTGGGCAAGATTTCCTGTCTTGCTCCTGCCCCATCTTTCCAGATCCACCCCCCCAACCCCACCCCCCACCCCACCAGAGCACCAGCTGAGAGCCAGATTGGCCTGGGTTCCTGGGCCCAGCCCTGGCTGGGAGGCTCAGTAATTTCATGCTCCTAGACATCTGCCTGTGTGAGCCTCTCTGCTCAGCCCTGCCAGGCACATATAAACAAGACTCCCTGGCTGGTGTAACTCTCGTCTAAAACTGTGCAGGCCTTACGTAATGTGAAGGAGTTGGGAGTCCTGGGGAGGTTGTGAACTTGCTTGCAGGATGTAGGAACCCTGACAACTTGTAACCTCTGTGAGCTGTTGGTCCTCTTAGACATCCTTAAAGGATGACGGTACCCACTTACAGAATTAAATGAGAAATCCTGTGTGTAAGGCATGGCAAGTGTAAAAGAGTAACCAACATTATTAGTTACCATCTTTCTGTGGTTCTTTTGCATTCTAAAAATTAGTCTCTTCCATTACCTTACCTAGTTTTGATTTGAATTTAAACATACCTTCCCCTTTCCCAAAAGCAATACAAATTAAACTCATGAGGTTACCAGCCCCAACTCACCTTCCTCTACTGTGCTCCTACATTGAGGGCCTTGAGTTTCTGGAGGAGAAAATGAAGAAGTCATTAAGCATATATTCTTCCGAAGTCATGCCATTCCCATGTGCAGCTCAGAATAAAAAGAACCAGGAAGACAATCTACATTTCACCAATTCCCAAACAGTCCAGGCTGTCTGGATTATGCAAATTCACTTCTGCTCATTGGCCTCTGGAATTTGGCCCAAAATTGTAAATTTCAAGTTTCTTGCTCTGTTTGACCTGTGGCCACAGTGGTGCCTGCCAACTATACTTGAATCCCTGTACCATGGCAACAGAAGTGTGAATTTGGGAAGCAAGAAGACCTGCCAGGAATCCCAGCTAGGAATCCCAGCTGAGAATCCCAGCTGTCCTCTGCAGAGGTCCCCTTTAGCTGGAACTTCCCAGTGCAAAGATTCCAGTCCCCCCGGTGAAAGGTGTGATGGAAGACTCTATCCTTCAAGATGAGTGGGGGGATTAGAGATGAGAGAGCCCAGAGTCTAGGAAGTAGGAGGTGCTCAGTAAGCAAAAGCTTTCTGGCCAATGTGGTATAAATCAGGCTATGATTTTCCCATTTCCTCTCTCCCTGGTGTGGAGGAAATAAAACACAGAGAGGCACCCCCTCCACTTACTGTAGTTCTCTGCCAGGACAGGCACCAGACCACACTGGCCCGCTATGTAGATGAAGCCTCCATCCAAGCTCATGGCATCAGCCTCTCCTTTCTGCAAAAACACAGCACATTACAGCAGGTGAAAAGAGGCCCTCTCCTGTCCTACCCACTCTTCCAACCGTTTCCTTAAGGCAGCCTTCCCAGCATAGGCCATGAAGGCCCCAGGAGAGAGCAGGTGCTGTGCCAGACCCCCAAGGGTCTATCACCAGGAATACCCAGCAAAGAAAATAAAATGTACTCTCATTTTCACCCAAACCATGATGAACTAAGAATTATTTTGGAGTACCTTGCTTAGTTTCTTCAGGAGCAAAGACCCACAGTTAGTCCTCCTGTTCTCTCATAAGATGCATTGTCCCAGAGATATTTCCACAACAACTTTCTGACACCAAGAGTTCTTATTTGTAAGACAGATGAGTGGAGGCAGGGACAGGAGGCTACGTCTGTGGCATAGAGCACCTTCTGATGGGGGCTCGAGTCCTGAATCAGGCCATGTGGATGAGTGCTCTTTCAGTGCTTGGTGTAGACAAAGTGTTAATGAGTAAAATACTCTCAAATGATCTATTTTTCAGGTTTATAAGCCCTGTTTTATAGAGATGCTTAAATTCCACAAGATTATCAAGCTTTCCATTGGGCCTAGAAATCTACTTTCTAGGAATACACCATAAAGGAGTAATCAAATATGTGGGAAACTATTTGGATTAAAAGTACAAGTGCAAGTGTGATTCATACAATGTAAAACATGCATGTATAATTGATAACCAGAAACAGACTAAATATAGATAATGCGGATAAATGGCTAAATGAATTGCATCACATCCACGCTCTGAAAGAGATTACATTAAAAGATCATGTTTTGGGGGTGCCTGGCTGGCTCAGTTGGTTCAGTGTCTGCCTTCTGCTCAGACTCTGGGATCAAGTCCCGCATCAGGCTCCCTGCGCAGTGGGGAGTCTGCTTCTCCCTCTCCGTTTCCCTCTGCCCCTCCCCCCACTCATACTTGCTCTCTCACTTGCTCTCTCCCAAATAAATTAAAAAATAAATAAATAAAAGATCCTATTTTAGAAAAATGATTTGTGACATAAAAGCTAACTAGGTATCAGGTGCAAAAATATAGTAAATTGTGCATCTGATATGATCCCATTTTACAGGGTTTTCTTGGAGTTAGAAGATTATAAGTACTTCTCATTTTCTTTTTGTATCATTCAGGATTTTCAAAACTCTAAAAGCAAACATGGAATGCTCAAGATCATGGAATGTTCTTGTGATCACCTAGCATCTTATGAATGCAAAGTTTAACTTCTACCTGCTTGTACAATCAGCGGCCCTGTCAAACCTGTCATGGCACACCGTGGGTCTCAGGCACACTCACACCATGGTCCAATCTCCCGTAAGTGGACAAAACTCAGAGTGCCCTCCACAGTGTGCTGACACCGGGAGGAAACAGAGCCCTAAGGAGCCCTTCAGATCCATAAGTTCAAAAGTACTGAAGCTTCCATGGGGCTGGGCTCCCACATGAGGGCAGGGTTCCTTGGGAACCCAGGTTTTTAATATCTTTCCCAAGAACACTTCCTCAGCCTTAGGGACAGGCAGGTAGCAGGGGCAGAAATACTGCCCTAAGGAGGCAGGAGTGACATACCGCGATCTTGGCAATACAGTCTTCAGTGGACTCTGCTGTTTCACACTCTATTTTCCCTTCACTGTTTACGCTCCACTCATCACACTTGACCCTCTCATGGTGACCTATGGCACACCATTTCACCTTCTTGCATTCATCCCTTGGGGTATCCGGGCCTAGGACATAAGAAAAAGAGCCAGATTTCAGATGAAGCCCCAGAAGTTCCTGCTGGTTATGAATGCTGCTAACTGTCTTTATGAAAATGCTGGGATTTGCCAGCAATATACAAACAGGTCCCATTCCAGGAATTCATCATCTTAGAAAACAAAGGCAGTAACAATCTCTTTCTTGGCTTCTTATCATTTAGATATGGCTTACAATAATCTCTTCCTAGATGCCAACTTTCTTCCCAACCCCTCTATCCCTTCAGGCTGTTTTGGGTTTTCTTCTTCTTCTTTTTGAAATAGCACTTAACCACCTGGGTTGTTCTTACTTATGTGTTCATTGTTTTTTGTCTTCTCCCTGTGGAGAACATAAACTCAGCCAGGGCAAGGGCTTAAGGCACACTCATTGTTCAAAGGCAATGCCTGGCTTATGGTCATTGCAATTAATGTCTGCTGAGTAAATGGCCATCTATTTGACTGACAGGCTCAGTTCAAGTCACTGCCTTAAGGAAGCCTTACTGCAGCTCTAGGAGCTATTTTTCTTTGTTTTCATGGTCTCATCAGACCATGATATTTTGTTTTATTGTGTTTGCTTTCCCTTGTTCTGAGCAAATCTCTCATTTTTAATCAGTCATTCAATAGAGTGACTCTTCATAGAATGTTTGTCTTCTCTGCTGGTGAGAAAGTTCCATGAGAGCAGAATCTAATATATGTTTGTCTCACCATTGCATGCCCAGCACCTCACACAGTCTATGGCTACATGATCAATAAGTGTCTGTTGAATGAATGAATATAATCAAGCAAACATCCAATGACCCAAGGAAATTCGGGAGCAGGATCAATCTGTCTAGAGTGCCAGCTTTGCACACATTGGTCATCATACTGGCAGCAGGTGTGCAAGTCCGTAGCAATTGTATCCTATTTCACTTACTTTGTGACAGCCTACTTGGCTCCACAGAGGGTAGGGTGGCCCTGATTTACACAAGGAAAATAACGCTAGTATCAATCCAAGTCATTTTAAGTATGAATTTCCTTCAATGCCTTCTGGTGATGTCCAGGCCCATCTCATGATGACTGACACCATTTAGCATCAGTCTGACACTAGGCAGCAAGGCAGGGCAGATAAATGTCAGGGTGCATTTTCAGTACCTGGAAAGCGTCTATTGCTGGTCCTTGCCCCCACCAGGTTTCCAGGCTCCAAAATGTCACATGATCCTTTCCCAGTACTTACGCACATCTTCCCTTAGATTCCGAAGAGCAGTGACATAGTCATAACCCAGGTACAGCCAGGTGTCCATCTTAGAGGGAATCCTTAAAAGCCCTTGGGCAGAATCCTTAAACAGCAGGTCCTTCCCCAAAGGTGAGCCGAAGAGCTGGAAGGCTTTAGATTTGTCTTTGCCATAATGTTCCTGTATATAGTAAAACACAATAGTGATTGGCTACAGCAGCAAGAAAGGCTGTGAAAGGGGACCGAGGGAACAAAAACCCCAGAAAATGAAATTAAAACCATTAAATTGTCAAGATTCCAGGAGAAAGGGCAGTCAGACCTCCTTTTTCCACCCAGCACCATCCCCATTCCCAGTCTTCTTGCAGTCATGCAACAACCTATTTCACAGAATATGTTTCTGTGCCTGTCTCCTTGGTTGGGCTGACAGCTCACTGAGTCTAAGAAATGCAGTCTCCTTCAGAAGCTGACACTGTGTGGTTACCACTTCAGCCCTTGATAGACGGATGGGAGGGCTGGACGAGAGGAGGTTGGCTCAGGGCTGGCATTCTGCTGCTCTAGGGAAATAAACCTGACTATGTGTGTGGCTTTCTTTCAGTCAGGCTGAGAGGACATTAGGAAAGAGATCATTTCCTTCTGCAGAGGTCATGGAAGGCCTTATGGGGGAGGGAGTATTTGCCCTTGGCCTAGAAGTCCTGGTTTAGATGGAAGGAAACAGAACTAAACAATAAGGAGCATCTTTATGTCACTAGGCCAAAATGCAAGGGTCTGACAGGCAATCATGCAGGACTAGGTTCTGTACGACTCTGAGTCCCCACTGGGCACTTTTAAACAAATAGATGAATGTGGCACAGTTCCCACTATGTCCTAAAAAAAAAAAAAAGTTATTCCATAGTGACAAAAGGGGATGTAGGAAAATGCCCCAAATCCAAGCAGGGACTACTAAGCAGGAGGGAGGACAGTGAATTCAGTACCTGGGCCTGGTTGAGAAGCTCCCAGATCAAGTCTTCCTTGCCCCCCACACTTCGGGCCACAACAGCATGGGAAGGGACACGGGCCAGGTGGCAGTCCTTATATTTATCTACTGTCATCCTCTGCAAGGTGTCTGGGCAGAGCAGCCTATACTCATCCCGATCAGCTTCGTTTGGCAGGTTTTCTGGGGGAAGAAAGCCTGGATGAGCCAACTGCAGATAGGACAGAGTCATGAGCTGTGTAAGTCTTTCTCCTCATCCCTTGCAATCCCAATGAATTATAGCATGTGCAAGCTGAGATACCTAGAGCCTAGAGCAAACACTGAGGGCCAGAGTACATTAGGGAACTGACTTGCTTGAGATCCCACAGCCAGTTACAGGCAAGAAAGCATCTAATGCCTAGTACAGGGGTAACTGCCCCATACCCCACAACATGTCTCATCTCAGCCGATCAACTTCAGGCCAAGTTCAGCCAGATGTGCCCCCAATCCCTTGCTGTGGCAACATTGACCAGGAAGAAGGGTCCCCATGTCTAGGAGTTCGAAGGATGGACAGAGCCCCAGGCGTCCAGTTGTAGACCCCGTAGGTACACAACTCTGCACAAGTAGAAATCCAAGCAATGATAAAGGAGGAATACAGTATGCTTATATGTGACCACTGACCATGAGAAGGGGTACAGGGCGGGGGGGTCCACTGCCTGGAGGGAATTTGTAGATTCTCCTGTTACTTACCGAACACTGTTGAATGCTTGACAAAGGCCACATCGCCAGCGTCATCCATCAGACACCTGTGGGAAAAAAATACGTTAAGAGGATTCCTGCATGGCAGGCCCTTCACCTCAGGCTTGAGGGTCTGTCTGGTCACACCATCCAGCCTGGAACAAGGGCAGAGATCGATGGAGGCCTCTATGCCGACCCATAGCTGAGGAAGCACTACGGGGCACTTATATACCACGAAGATGAGGAGGGGATGAGCTCATGGGAACTAGAAATCCCTTATCACATGCCCCACAGTAGCAAAAAAAGTCAATGAAGATATTTTAATAGAGAAAAGAGTTTTTAAATTTCTGAAATGGAAAATAAAGACATAGAGTCTCCTGAGAGAGGAAATGTCCCTCGGCTGGCATCAAACTTTAGTATATAACCAAGGTGAAAGAGGGAGAGAAAAATCAGCCACATGAGCTGTCTGCACAGGGGCAATGAGGGAAGGCCAGAGAGAGTACATTGAACAGGAGACCCTGCTCCAATAGAAAGCAGAGGGTCAGTCACTGAAGAATGGTTCAAACACTAGGATGTCCTTAGGCTCTGCCCAGTCCAGCGAAAGAACACACTGGGCAGGTTCCAGGGCTCTGGAGAGGTAGAAGAGATCTCCAGGAGAGGGGCTCCCTTGTCAAATGTCACATAAAAAGTATATGCACTGGCTTGGCCTGGAGAGTCTCAGCTGGATCACTGAGTCACTGCAAGGGCATTAGGCCTCTGGATGCCTCTTTGTAGGCTGGGCTCTGCTACGGGCCAGGTAGGGTCTCCCAGCCTGAGGACATTGGACAGTATGGCCATCATGGAGCAGCAGCTGGTTTCACTCACTTGAAGGCACCTGAGTATCCGAAGTATGGTTCATGGTTAGAGCAGGCACACTTGTCTGTCCCTTTCCCCGCACACAGTTGACATAGTTTGGGAAAGGCTGTCCGATCTGCACAGGGAACACAGCTGCCCGCGAAGAAACTGGACACCGCTGTTCAACATAAGACATGTAACACAGGTCATGAGCCACCCTGGGCACAAGCAATTATAGCTCCCAGTCTAGGGTTTTTAGGGAACAGAGAGTGACTAAAGGAAAATGAATACACCCAGTCTCAGCACACCCTTGCATATGTTCACTGATCAAGATCAAGATTTTCCAAAAGGGACGAATTAACATTTGTCCTCCCACCGCCCTCCCCAAGAACCAGACCTGTGCCTGCCACTGACCCAGGCCTGTCTCAGGTCACTTGTCAGACTGGAACAGCTCAGAGAGAGGTCTCCTCTGGCAGTCCTATCTGAGAGATGGGAAACCCAGGTAGGTGCAAGCCAAGTTCATGGCCAGCAGATGGCTACCAGAAAAGCTCCAGCAGATCAGCCACAGGTAGGAATGAACCCCAGGAAAGTGATCAGTAGGGCCCAGCAAACTTGGCCCTGACTGAAGCCCTCTGTTGGGCTTGATGGCCTTCCCCCCACTTCTCAGGATAGCCTTTGGTTTGGTGTTAAGAGCTCAGAGAAAAAACTCAGCTGACACGTGCCAAGGGCTGCAGGTGTGGCAGAACTGACCAGTTTAAAACTGGTGAAACTCCTCCCTCCAGCCCCCAGACTCTTCATACACGATCACCTGATCATGTCTGAGTGATCCCAGTGTGGCCTGTGTAGGCCTGCCTGATAGCAGTCACCCTCTTGCCTACTTACCCTTCTGAAGAGAGTCACGTGGCTCAGGCAGCTTCCAATAAAGTAAGCCCATAGGGATGTTCCATCCAGCAGACCTGCCAAGGCCTGTATGGCAGGACTTCTTGCCTTCGAGCTCATTCAGGTTGAAGTTACTGCTCTTCTTCACCAAAGCCACAGCATAATACTGGGTTTTTTGATCTGCAAAGAGACAATGTGAATGAAAGACCCTTAACCTGGGCCACAGGGAAACATTGCTCATCCCTACTGGGTTCCTGAGTAAAGAAAGGGAATCCACAGGGCACATTTATGTTGGGTTGGCTCACAGAGGGAGAGAGATCAGGAAAACCTGCCTAGACTTGCAGGGGGGAGAAAGGACCACAGGGAGAACATTTGCAGTAATAGTCCAAGCAAACACAGGGGCAAGAAGGCCACATAAACATGTGGCCCAAATGCTTTTTGCCTACCATGGCCCTGCAGTTTGTCTGCCTACACATACCAACCACGCCCACAAGGAAATTGAAGTTGTAGCGCAGAGACAACATTTATTCTAAGTACTTCCTGTTCCCTGACACAGGCCCAGGGACAGCTGGTTGCTCTCAGAGGAGATGCAAGGCTGTTGGGGCTCCAAGTATGTACTGTGTAGCTCTAAACTCTAGTGGTTCAGGTCAGGTTGTGCACGGTCTGCTCTGTTTCTCCAGCGATCATATTTCATAGCCCAGAAGGTGAGTGTCAGGAGCACCAGTCCTCAACCATCCCAAAGCCCCAGAGGCCTTGAGTTGTGCCTCTGGCAGCTGATAGGGCCTCTCATTCCCCACTGACACCCAATGGGAAATGCTCATCAGTATTTAGTCTACATTAGCTCCCTGAGCAAGACACACTCAGCATCTACCAGGAGAGAACAAGAGCCACACACTCTCTCCTGGGTCCCCAGGAAGAACTTACCCCCTTCTGACTCATAGAACTCTGCCACTACAGGCTTTAGGTTGTAGGGATTCAGGCCCGCCTCAAACACCAAGCCTGCATCCAGTGTCACAGCATCTGCTTCATTTGCCTGTAAGATAACAGACCAGACCCTGATGAAGTCCTTACTTCTGAGGAAGGGCTACCTATAGCCGGGCAAGTGAGGGTGACTGGCAGGGCTTCTTGGATCTGGGGCCAGAAGAACCCTCACCTTGGCGCAACTACACATCACACCAAGGGTTTCGGTTGATTTCACCTCCCTGGTAAGGGGATTTGGCCACCATTTTCCTATTCCTCCCACATAGAGTAAGGAATGGATTATGTTTTTCTTTCCCCTGGTAAGGAGTCTGGTTCTTGGCCCAGAAACCTATGTGTGGTCTTTCAAGATCACATTAGAGGAGCTTTTCCTGGCAGACCTCATGGGGGAAAGCTGCCCTCCCAACCCTAGACTGGGTACAATGCACAAACACAACAGACATTGAAGGAAGTTGCAACCATTCTCTTACACATATTTATACTGCGAGCGGTATTTATACTACATATTCATACTACATTGCTTTCTTTGGTAACCTCTTTATCTTGAGCCTTCTGCTGAGGTCTTCCTCAGGCACTTCTTAAGCCCTTCTTATGGGGGAGGGGAGCCTTGAAGACACTGTGTCCACACTGATTCAGTACTCGGTACTTTTTCTTCCTGTTCTGGGACCCCATAACTACAACAGTCTTGTTCAAGGATTTGATACTTTCTTTGGGCTTTACCTCTCACTTATACTATGAACTAAGGGTAAAATGCTGATTATTATTTCTGTTATGGCTCATTGTTTTTTCAATGAACTATTCAGATATGTCGAGGTCACCACTGTTCAACTCAGCTCCATTTTACGTTGAAAAACAAAGGCACGGGAAGTTTGTTACTTCCCCAGGCTACATAGCTAGTAAGTCATGGAGCTGGGATTTAAATTCAGGTTGTCTGGATTTATTTCTTCCATTACAGTTACTTGCTGGATATTTAGTTAGTTAGTTAATCTTGGGGCAACTTGTAAGGGTTGGTATTGTTTTTATTATAATATACATCAGATAAAATTTACTGTTTAACCTTTTGTAAGTATACATTTCAGTTCCATTAGTTGCATTCACATTGGTGAAAGACAGCTGTATTCCACAACTAAACACCAAATATGAAGCAATCTTTGTGTCCTCCTTGGTATCAGAAAAGTTAAGTACAACCTCTAGCCTCCCCCTACCCACCCCACACACCACAGAGTAAAAACGAATAAGCAAACAAACAACTTTTCCCGGAGCAGTGAGACTGGGGCTTTATGGCCAAGACACCAGGATGCTGATCAGGCATCACTGTGGCCTCAGGGGCAAAGGAACCAAGGAGCCAAGGCCTAACTCATGGGCTCCACTAGAGCAGCAGGGATTCCAAGGGGGAACCTGAACCAGCAAGGAGGAGGAGGATTAAAATCAAGTATAGCCCCCACAGGTGCAGATAACTGCACTCAGAAGAATATAAACCACAATGCCTGAGTGTCAAGAGGAACAAAAAACTCGAGGGAGGTTGAAGCTGTCTGATGCATTGAGAAGAGCTGCCTGTGAGGGATTTACTTTTCTATACAAATTGAAGGCTGCAATCAGAGTTAAAGCGTAGAAAAGGAAATTATCAGAAATAAAAAGAAAAATTATTTGAACTGGTGCATCTAGAAACAAAAAATATAACTGTTGAAATAAAAAAGTGATGAAGGGAGGGGCACCTGGGTGGCTCATTGGGTTAAGCCTCTGCCTACAGCTCAGGTCATGGTCTCAGGGTCCTGGGATCCACATCTGGCTCTCTGCTCAGCGGGGAGCCTGCTTCCCCCTCTCTCTCTGCCTGCTTCTCTGCCTACTTGTGATCTCTCTCTCACTGTCAAATAAATAAAATCTAAAAAAAAAAAAAAAGGTGATGAATGGGCAATAAGTTGATTAGACATGTTAAAATTAAGAATTAGTGAAGTGGAAGCTCTATCTGAAAAATGTACTCTAGATCCTGCCAAAAAGAGGTATAGATAATGGAAGTTGTGGAAGAAGAATTAAAAGGTTAGATTAAAGAAGACCCAACATGTGTCATCTTGGAATCCTAGAATTTTTTTAAAAAAGAGACTGAAACAAACAGATATTTAAAAAGATAAGGGCTGTAAATTTTTCAGAATCGATGAAAAATATAATTCCACAGACCCAATATACACTAAGCAGGAGAGGTACCAAGATTTTCACAACTGCAAATTAATCATAGTGAATCTATAGAGCATCACAGACCAAGAAAATGAAACCTCAAAATCAGAGATGGCTGAAGCAATAACAGGATAATACCACTCTTCTCCACAACTACAATGGAAGTCAGGAGACAGTGGAATAATATTTTAAAACAGGGTAAAAATGTCAAGCTAGAATTATACATTCAGCAAAACTACCATTCGTGAGATTAAAGCATTTGTAGAGGAAAGCAAACTACTGAAAGAGTTTAACACCAAGATATTGGCTCTAAAGAATCCCCCCAAAATTTATATATCAAGAAGGAAACATATCCCAGAAGGATGGTCTGAAAAACGAGAAGGGATGGGAAACAGACTAAATGGCAAAAATACAGATAAATCTAAATATTCCGTCACTCTTTCTAAATTTTGGGGTGTGTGTACACACACACATAGACATAGACCCACAAGCCCCCCCACATGTATTTTTATATAGTGTCTACAAATACGTGAAGTATTTACATTGTGGGTTTTAAAAAGATAGACATAAAATATTAAATGGTAATATTTAAACAGGGAAGAGGGAAGTCTGAGCGACTGTTTCCCAGGGTCATTTTATTGTTTGAGAAGGAGGGCCAGGATTATTTTACTGTAATACATTGGTAAGCTAAAAGTATGTAGTAAAAATTTAAGGAACTCAAAAGGAATATAAATAAAGTGTTTAAATTCATTACCAGTAGGTGGGAAAGTGGAATAAAGGGAAAACAATGCAAATGAACACACACATGTGCAAACTCAGTTTTTAAAAATCAGAAGAGGAAAAATCAGAAAACAAGGGAAGACTGGACTAAAATAAAAAAGTAATATGACAGAATTATGTCCAAATTTACCAGTAATAATAATAAAATAAATGAGTTTTCACATAAAGTAAATAAATCTGATTGTCAGATTGTATTAATAAAATCCAGCAATAAACAGTTCTCAAAAGATGCACCTGAAGCAGGAGCAACAGAAAACTGAAAATGAAGGAATGAAAGAAATCACAGAAGAAGACTACTAAGCAAAGAAAGTTGATGTAGTATGTTAATAGAAAAATAGAGTTCAGTCAAAAAGCACTGCCAGATAATTTCATAATGATAAAATACCAAATTCACCAAGAATGATATGGATTTTTCACTCATATGCTGGTGGTAGGAGTAGAAATTGAAATAATCACATTAACTGTCAACTACACTCCAAAAAAAAGGGAGGAAAGAGCCTGGATGTCCATACACACACACACACACACACACACACACACACACACACACACAATGGAATAATACTCAGCCATCAGAAAGAATGAAATCTTGCCATTTGCCATGACATAGTTGGAACTAGAGGGCATTATGCTAAGCATAATAGATCAATCAGAGAAAGACAAATACCATATTACACCACTCATATGTGGAATTTAAGAAACAAAACAGATGAACATAGGGGAAGGGAAGGAAAAAATAAGAGGAAAACAGAGAGGGAGGAAAACCATAAGAGACTTTTAACTATAGGGAACAAACTAAGTGTTGCTGGAGGGGAGATAGGTGGAGGATAGGGTAACTGTGTGATGGGCATTAAGGAGGACACTTGATGTGATGAGGACTGGGTGTTACATGCAACTGAAGAGTCACTAAATTCTACCCCTGAAACTAATAATCCAGTGTATGTCAATTAGATTGAATTTAAATTTAAAAATTTTTTAAAATAAATGAACGTAACCAACTACATAGGTAAATACAAAAAAATAAAAAGAACCACATTGAATTGGCTTAAAAGTCAAACACTGCTGGTGGGAATGCAAGTTGTACAGCCACTCTGGAAAATAGTATGGAGTTTCCTCAAAAACCTAAAACTAGGGCTACCCTACGACCCAGCAATTGTGCTACTATGTAACTAACTAATTGTGCTACTAAATAACTATGTTATTTACCCAAAGGATACAAACATAGTTATCCAAAGGGGTACCTGCACCCCAATGTTTATAGCAGAAATGTCCACAATAGCCAAAATATGGAAAGAGCCGAGATGTTCTTCAACAGATGAATAGATAAAGATGTGGTGTGTATACATAAAATGTAATATTACCCAGGCATAAAAATGAAATCTTGCCATTTGCAAAGACGTGGATGGAACTAGAGGGTATTGGCTAAACAAAATAAGTCAATCAGAGAAAGACCATTGTCACATGATTTCACTCATATGTGGAAGTTAAGAAACAATACAGGATCGTAAAGAAAGGGGAAGAAGAATAAAATCGTACGGAATCAGAGAGGAAGACAAACCATAAGAGACTCCTAACTATAGGAAACAAACTGAGGGCTGCTGGAGGGGAGGACAGTAGAAGATGGGGTAACTGGGTGATGGGTATTAAGGAGGGCACGTGATGTAATGAGCACTGGGTGTTATATGCAAGTGATGAATCACTGAACTCTACCTCTGAAACTAATAATACACTATATGTTAATTCATTATTATTTTTTTAAAAATCAAACATATTTGGCATTATCTTAGAAGACAAATACATATCCCATGGCGCAGCAAGTCTGGTCCTACATATATATATTCAAGAGAAACTATTAATACTTTTGTCCTAGGATATGTATTAAAAATATTCGTCGGGGCGCCTGGGTGGCTCAGTGCATTAAGTCTCTGCCTTCGGCTCAGGTCATGATCTCAGGGTCCCGGGATCAAGCCCCATGTAAGGCTCTCTGCTCAGCGCGGAGCCTGCTTCCCCCTCTCTCCCTGCCTGCCTCTCTGCCTACTAGTGATCTCTCTTTCTCTGTCAAATAAATAAATAAATAAAATTTAAAAAAAAAATTTTGTCAAGCCCTGATTAGAATAACAAAAGGCTGGAAAGAACCCAAATGCCTAATGACCAGAAAAGAAAAAATACATTGTGTTATACTAACATAATGGACTATTGTGGGCTCTGAAAATGAATGAACAATAGCTATATTCAACAATGTGGGTGAATCTTAGCATAATATCGAGGAGGGAAAAACAAGGAGAAGACAACATATAGTAATGCCATGTTTGTGAAACTTTTTACGAATCAAAACCATATAGTCATTCACACATACCCATATACATCTTAAAACTAAAATACAAGGCAAGAAAGTTGTAAGATTGAGAATGGATGGAGAAAGACATCGGTAACTGTAAGTAGGGCCAGTGGGTTACACCACACTACGTGGTTGTCATTCCCATAGAATCCAGTGCTGCCACACTGCAGCCCTAGAAGTAAGCGATTGGTACTGATGAAATTTTGAGAACCTGTGTTAGGTTCATGGATAGTATCATTTTATATTATCAGCAATTTAAAAATGGAAAGGGGCATGCATGGACTAGAGCTAAACAAATGTCACAATTCAAGGGTGATAATTTAAAGCATGATCATAACAGATCCAACTAAAAAACACACACAGGCTAGTTGTTTTGACCAAATCACTGATTCCTTCGGTCGATCATGCTCTGTCTGGCTGAGTCTACCTTTCCCCCCTCATTACTCCTTCCAGTCTCCTGCTTGCTCTACTCCTTCTCCCTGATTTCCCTACAGCAACTTCAGAAACTCCCGCTCTGCTATCTTGGGCCGTTTGCACAAACGGTTCTCCACTGCCTGACGTGTTCTACCTGTGGCACCCAGCAGGCTTACCCATGCTCATCCTTGGGGTCCTAGTTTCATTGCTTCCCTGTCAAGGAGGTTGTGCCTGACATGCAGGCCAAAGTAAGTTTCTTCTGAAAGTCTCTTCCAGAGCATTGTACTCTTTCCCTTCATCGTACATCACACACTTTGAAATTTACAATTTATTTGTTTGCATATTTTTCTTCTCTCCCCACTAGAATGTTATCTTGCCAAGAATAAGGGCCAGATGTGTTTAAATTCACCACTGCAGCCCCATTGCTCAGCACAGGGTCTGACCCCCATTCAGATGTGCAGGGACAACAATGAAGGAGTGAAGTGTTTTTGGAAAATCTGAAAAACAAAGAGATCGGCAACCATCTGCCGTTGGCACTGTGCTCCTCTTCTCCATGAGCATCATTCATCTAGTTCCCGTGATGTACCACGAACTTCCAAAACAATGTCATATGGTAATTTTGATAGTAAACATTCTTGTTTTTTTCCCTGAATTCAGAGAACTTGGTGTCTCAAAATAGTCCCCTTTTCAGAGTGTGTTGGATTTTGTTTTTCTTTAAAGATATCTACTCCAATTTCCCTTTCTGAAGTGCCTTTATTAGCACTGGGGGTTGACTGTCCCACACACCAGCCTCCCACCTGAGTAGAGTTGTTTCAAAATGTCAGAAGAGAAGGTTTGGATTTTATTCCACTCTCTTTTAGGCAACAGTGGCTTACCCAAATGGCCTTGATGCACTCAAGGTAGGAGGTTTTCTTCACACAGCTGACAAAAGGACCATTTTCAAGGACAGTTTTCATATTTTCCATGAAACTGGAACACTTACTGGCCTCATGATTTGAGACCGTGCACCATCTCACAGTTCTCTCAGGGGAGACAGCCAGACACAGCCCTAGGAGAAAGAGGTCAGAGGTTGTGTTAGTGGGAAAGACAGAGCAGCTCCTGAAGGCTCTTGAAGTCTCCATCTCTCCCAACCTGTCCTCTTCCCATTCCTCCTATTAACACCACAGAGCACAGATTCCATTGCCTTCTAAGGCTGGGGACAAGAGAATGGAACCCTAATGGCCCCCTAGTCACCTGCTTACCACCCTATGCTAGCCAGAGGGATGCTGGCTTGACCATCAGCTCTTAACTGGAGACCACAGTAATCTGCTTTTCTCTGTTTTCCCTGCCTCCTTATCTCACCATCATGAGACTGCCCTGGGACATAAGCCTCATCAGTGTGACAGAGAATTTTCAGCCACTTGAAGGCATTGGTTCGATATGACGACTTGGAGAAGCTAGCAAGGTAGGAATTACCATCTTTTAAAGATGATGGAACTGGCCTTAGAGAGTGATGCTTTACCTAAGGTCATCCAGCCTGTTAGTGGCCAAGACTGGCCTAGAAACCAGGTCTCCAGCCTTTGGTCTCTGCCCAGGGAAGAAAAGAAGATGACATTCTGAGTTATTTTCTATCTGCTTGGCCAGTAGGTAGGGGTAAATGACTGATGAAATAATGAATTTGCCTTTGAATCTCGTCTATCATCCTCAGTTCCAGGAATAAGTAGAACTCCACATATTCAGTGGCTCTTTCTGTTTCCAGTGACCCCTCCCTCAATTTTCATCAGTCTTTTGGGCTGCCATTAGGAGGAACTAAAGCCAGCCATGTCTGCAGCTATTAAAATCATGTGGTTGCACTGCTCCCAAAGACCTATGTCATCTCCACGTTCTGTGGAGAAGAGCACAGGGCTGACTCAGGGAAGCTGACGAATATCCACAAAGCGCAAAGCAGGAAGCGGAGAGGGCAACACTTCTCCAGGTTGCATAAGGAGGAGCCACTGGGAAATTACTGCCCCAGCCACCCTTTATCCCACCTCTGCCCATGAGAAGTCATGGGAGGCATCAGGATTCAGTGGCAGACACCCCCACTCCCACCCCCACTCCCCAAACTGCCCTTCCTGAGGTCTCATGGGCAGAAGTTGTCCTGAGTCTTGCATTTACCTTGCACAGCCCTGTGAGGTGCTTTGAGGGTGGGAGGGGACCAGGGCCAAAGGCAAGTAATGCAGGGCCAACTCCCAAGGGTAAACTTTTCCAGGAGAGACAAATAACAAAACACAAAGCTCCAAAGGTATAATGCACCAGGAGAGGCAGAAGTTAAAGAACAGAGGACGCCAAACAATCTCAGGAGGTGATGCGTGTAGCGGAGGGCTTCCAGTTACAGACCCCACAGCACGGATGTGTGCAGCAGACTCCACTCCCCTGGTGCCTGGACCCACGGCCTCATTTACCCTCACCCGACCCTCCCCGGCCCAGCCGTCTCACTGGTGAGGACACAAGAAGCCTGGATTCAAATATGCTTTGAATCCCTCAATGGCCCTGCTTCTTAGCAGGACATCTTCAGTGCCAAGGGCACCCATGGGCCATCAGACCGCCAAGGGTGGGGGCGCAGTCAAATTTAGGAGGCCTTGAGTGCCATTCTTAGCAGTTCAGACACGATTCAGGAGACCTCATAGAAGGGATCTGATAAACCATGATGGAAGTGCTCTTATTGCATTCTAATACTACGGGATTTACTGGACAACAAGAAGGAGAGCATGGAGAGGAAGCAAGGAAGCATGGAGGGCACGAAAAGGGGCAAAAGCACTAGCAGGACAAGCAGCTGTGCGCAGGCACAGAACTGAACCTAAGGCAGTTCTCAACCAGGTGCAGGGATGCGGCGGGGAAGAGCGAAGGAAGTTCTCTAGGCTTCCAGCCCAAGAGTGGATGGAATCCAGGAGCCTGTGTGGCCCAGTGGAGGGTGCAAAAAGCTATGGAGCTGGCGACTCTGGGAGCCTTCCCCGAGCCGGCACTCACCCAGGACCGCGCAGGCCAGCAGGGTGCGGACAGCAAACCTCATCTTCCTGGTCTGTGGCTAGGAGCCGGGAGCACAGACCTGTGGGCTTCTGCGCCGCCTCCCTGTGTCCAGTGCCCCTTTATGTGCGGCCCAGCTGGCCAAGCAGAATCTTTGACCTCCTGTGTTTGCGCAGCCCGCTTGCCCAATCACCCCTCATCCCTCCCCCTTCATTCCTTCCCCAGGCTGATCACCTCATTTCCTGAGCTCCGGAGAGACCCACGGATGGAATCCAGCACAAAAATGCTGATTGTAAGGGAATTAAGGAAAAATGAACCCTTTGTTAATGTGCGCTCTCTCTGTGCCAGGAGCAGGGCCACAGCGGGGCTTGGGGGGCGGGGGGCGTGTTGGGGAGGGTGGTTCTGCTCCCAAATCTCAGGATGCTACTAGAGCTGGTCCTGCACCAGTCTTACACATTCATTCCACGGATAAAAGAGGGAAGGAACTACCCTAGATCCAGACTAGAGACGCAGAATAACAAGCAAAGACCTTCCTTAGAGAGGATGTCAGAGAAGATAAAGCTAGCCTCAACCCTTCACTTCTTCCCAGGTGTGCCCAGAAACACTGCTCCTGGACTCTCAAAGGCCCTCCTAACTGAGGCATTGTTCTCCCCTTATATGCCCCACTGATCTAAAACTCCTGGACTGAACACCTTCCTTCCTTCCACGCAGCCTGACAGACACCTCGGCCTAGCGACAGAGTCACAGGGGAGACAAACTGTCTCCCACAAGAAGCTACCCAGGAACGTGACAAAGTCTAGAGACTCAGAACAAAACGACACACCAGCCCAAAGCAAGGGGCCCAGAGGAGGATGTAGCCTGGTCTCAATGCCTGGGTCATCCCTGGCTCCCTCCAGCTAAGTGGTTTCCAATTGACTTTGATTGCCCATCCTTATCAGGAAACATAGTGAGCTTGTACATTCTGTGTGTGTATTTTTTAAACTAATATATTGTGTACATTTCAACCATATGAGGAATATAAATTTATGAAACAATAAAACAAAGATAAAACATTCTTTTTTAAATGTTCCTTTGTTTATTCTGCCATGTATACATTGAATAATATCTCAAGGCAAAATAATACACTTAGGGAAAGGGCAAGGGTCCTGATAGTAGATATAAGTCAATACTCCAGAAAGTCCTCAAGATAATTTTAGGTTTCTCGAAAAGTTACTTATCCAGTCTGATCAGGTTGATTGTGGTTTGGGGCTCTAGCTACACTAATTAATCTATACCAGGCCTAGAAGATGTCTGTATCATCATTTTATTTTTGTTCACTTGTGTTTGTGTTATCAGAATCATCTTCTAATTCTAGTTTCTTTGCAGAAATATTTTTAAGGCACTTGTGCATTTTATGAGGTTTGGTGAGTTAAACCACATCATATCACCTGTACATCCAATTTCCTGGGCACACAAACACCACAAAATAGGGAACCACAAAAGCCAAAAGCAAAGGACAGTTCAGAGAGTCACAACCATCCAGCACCCTCTTTCTCACCCCTGCCCTTTTGAGGTGTTCCTCATCTTGCCTCAGGACACTTCAGAGGTTCTACAAGACCTGTGTCTGTCTGGCCTACAGACCAGTGGAGACAGTGCCAATCATCATACAAAATAGTAATGAATGTCCATTTGTTAATCTTTTGCATTAAGAATAAATACAACTGGAAGTTAGGCTGTATTCTCCCACACCTCAGTAGATTGTCTCATATACGAGGGGTTACCCACACCCCACTTTAGAAAGCATTGCTATAGCAGGGACTTTCTGTTTACAGTAGGGACGGAAGACAAGCCTAGCCAGGCTGCCTCACCACTGAGGAAGAGAAGCTGCTGCTTGCCCTCCCTCTGTCCCTGCCCCTCATGGACCCTCCTGCGTAAGCCATGGAAAACCCAGAATCATGGCAAGAAGGGCATATTCCTACTTCCCCCGGAAGCAGGTGTATTAGGGGGTGACCTGTCTTCCTGTGGGAGACCTGAAGGTACAGAGATAAAGACGGGAGGAGAAAATGAGGAGAAGTCCTGGCTGGGAGAAGCCTCCTATGGAGCTGATGCCTCCTGAGGCTGTGCACTGAGCTTGCAGTGTCTGCTCAGAAGCAGGAAGGAGAGTTGCCCAATGTTGAATAAGCCACAAACTCAGGGAAGCTCCGCGCAGGGCATGGAAGACAGAGAGACCTTGATTCTCGCCCCTGGGCCCCTAGTGCTCTTACTCCTATACCAGAGGGGTAGTGAGCCTTTCCTGAGGCAGTTCCTCCAAGGTGAGAGCCACAGCCAAGCTTGAGCCCCTTAGAGGGAGCACCTTCTGGTCAGTGTAAGAGACTCCGCATTAAAGATGAGGTGAGGAAACTGAGGCCGTGAGGGGTCAATACCTTGTCCAAAATCAACTAGTGAGTCAGATGCATAATCAAGCCGTCTGGTTCCAGAGCGCATGTACCCATCCACCAGCGACAGTGCCTCTCGCAGGAAACAGGGACATACAGAGACCAAAGGACTCATCTAGGCTCACATTGAAAGGGACAGACAGGGTCCTCTCAGCCCTGCCATTTCTTCACAGACACACCACCCCACATTTCAATGTGCAGAGGGGCTTGTCCCTCTGGGAGTGGCCTGAGTGCCCCAACGGCAGAACCTCAGGTATGCACCAATTTATTATGCTCAGATGGAAGGAAAGTATCACATTCTCTGTCCTTCCATGTTCCAAGCACTGTTCTGGGGCAAGATCTTTGTGATCTTGACCAATTACCTGGAGAGATGAGGTCAGTTCCTCATTTTTCAGATGTGGACTCTATACTAAAATGACAGCTCCTCCTTCACAGAGCTCTAGGACCCGAACTCAAATCTCCTAAGTCCCAGCCTTCTCTAGACCACAGCTTACTTCTGGATATTCATTTTCTCTTGCTTTATCCAGAAATAGAAGGGAGCAATGAAGGGAGGAAGGGGAGGAAGGAGATAAGAGGGGCTGGGGGGAATGAAGAGAGCTTCCAGTTATAAACCAAGCCAAGTCATGACCCAAATCTTCCACCATAATCTAAATAAAACTCTTAAATTTCAGTGGGATTGGGTCTCTTGTAGAAAGAGCTGAACTTGTGTGTACGTGCAGGGGGTGAGGGGTGGGTTGCTGACCTAAAGGGATGGGCAGGAATGCACTGGCTCTCTGAACCAATATTTGTTGTTTCCAAATGTTGCCTCATTTACAAAGAAGCAGAGCAAACAAAGAACTTCTGTCTGGTTGAACCAGTCCCTCCCCGCCTTCCCCCTCATTGCTTTCTGCCTAACACCAAGGCTTCTCCTCTGAAAGACCTGAGTCTGGATCTTTGGTAAGGTGCGATCAGTAGCCTGAGAACTGATGCTCATAGACCCACTATCCCACAGACCACTGCTCAGGGAGAGTGCGATGAGAGAGGTGAGAACCAAGGGCACTGTCCTTCTAGAAAAATGTCAGGCGGTTGAAATGCCACACACCACCAGCTCTTTCTGTCTCAGTCCTATCCCTCAGAAGTCCCTGGACGAGGGAAGATTCTCAGGCTCCCATTCTTTTCCCAGAGGAGTCCACAAAAATATCCTTTTCACAAATAGTCCAGGGCTAGACAGCTTCACTAATGAATTCTACCAAACGTTTAAAAAGAATTATAACAATCTTACACATACTTTCCCAGGTAATAGAAAAAAAAGGAGCACTCCCTGACTAATTTTTGAGGCCGGTAAGAATAGTTTGAAAGCAAAAACCATCAAGGACATGATATAAAAATATAAAATATAAATATATAAATATGAAATATAAAAAGAAAGTAACTTTTATGAACATGGATGTAAAAATTCCAAGCAAAATGTTAGCAAATTGAACCCAGCAATATCTAAAAAGGATACTGAATCATTAGCAAGTTGGACTTATTCCAGGAATGCAAGTTATCTTTTGAAAAATCAATCAGTGTAATTGGTCACATTAACAGAATAAAGGAGGAAAATTATATAACCACATCAGTCAGTACAGGAATAGCATTTGCTAAAATTCAGCAACCATTTTTTTTAAAACCTCTTGGCAGATTCATCCTAGGAAACATGTTTAATCCAATTGTGTGTGTGTGTGTGTGTGTGTGTGTGTGTGTGTGTGTGTAATATATATAAATACTTTAAAGAAATGTTCTCTTTATATATACGAAATCTTCATACTCAGTGGTAGAATGGTGAATGTAAGCTTCCCCTTTGAGATCAAGAAAAAGTTCTACTCTTATCATTTCTATTCAACATTTTACTTGTGGACCTTGCCAATCCAGTCATGTACGAAAAAATATAATATGTAAAAGAATTGAAGAGAAAAAAATAAAACTCACTTTCTTCTCAGGTTTGCATTAGAAGGAACATGAAAGTGACTTGTCTCATTATCAGTTCTGTTAACTTTGCTTGGTTAAGGTGGTGTCTGACAGATTTCTACACTGTAAATTTATTTTCCTCTTAATTAATGAGTAGTTTGTGGGAAGATATGTTGACACTATTTAATATTTTATTCCTCCTCAGACAGGCACTGCCTAGTTTCAGCATTCATTGAGGTCTCTTGCCTCGATCAATTATTACTATATTGATTGCCAAATAGCGATTTTTCTGCTTATATCATTCTTTGTGCTTTTATCAATTGACATTCTAAAGTAAACAAGTGCTTCCTGTTCTCCAGTTATTTATTTATTTCCTTTTATTTGTTTTTATCAGCATGGACTCAGGGTTCCCACCTTTCTCAGTGGGTTATAATCCTTTACTATCATTTTTTTTCAATTTTTTATTGTGGTAAAATACATATTACATAAAATTTATCATATTAACCATTTTTAAGTGTGCAGTTCATTCATGTTGCTGTGTGACTGTGACTATCCATTTCCAGAACTTCTTTTTTCTTGAAAAACTGGAACTCTCTATCCAGTAAACAAAAATTCCTCATTTCTCTCTAGCCCAAGCCCCTGGTAACCACCCCATTATTTTCTGGCTCTATGATTTTGACCACTCTAAGTGCCTCATTTAAGTGGCACTTAGAGTGTAACATATGTCATTAATTTCCTTCTTTTTAAAGGCTGAATAATGTTCCATTCTAGTATTTACCATATTTATTTAT